CAAATAGATCCAACCACATTCTCCAGTATCCAAATTTTTTGCATTGCTTTTCTTGGAAAACCCCTTTCTGAACTTGTTTTGGTAAAATTTCATGATGGCACATATGTAGGCAGCAAAACAAAAAAACATCAGTTGAAAAATACTTAATATACTGTATATATAGAATATGTGTATATATATATATATATATATATACAGACACTGCTCAAAAACATTAAATGTAAGAATGCCAGTCGTTTGATGGAAATGAAAATTATCATCCTACAGAGGACTGAATTCAAAGACACCCTGAAAATCAAAGTGAAAAATTTTGCAGCAGGCTAGTCTATTTTGCTGAAATTTCATTGCAGCAACTCATAATGGTACTCAGTAGTTTGTATGGCCCCCATGTACTCAAGTACATTTTGGCAAACTGTAGTGTATGCATGTTTGACAATGTCGGGGCATGCTCCTAATGAGATGACGTATGGTGTCCTGGGGCATTTCCTCCCAGATCTGGACCAGGGCATCACTGAGCTCCTAGAGAGTCTGAGGTTCAACCTGACATCGTTGGATGGACCGAAACATGATATCTCAGAGGTGTTCTATTGTATTTAGGTCAGGCAAGTGTGGGGGCCATTCAATGGTATCAATTCCTTCATCCTCCACAAACTGCCTGCATACTCTTGCCACATGAGGTCGTGTAGCAGGAGGAACCCAGGACCCACTGCACCAGCGTAGGGTCTGACAATGGGTCCAAGGATTTTGTCCCGATACCTAATGGCAGTCAGGGTGCCATTGTCTAGCCTGTAGAGGTCTGTGTGTCCCTCCATGGATATGCCTCCCCAGACCATCACTGTCCCACCACCAAAATGGTCATGCTGAACGATGTTACAGGCAGCATAACATTCTCCACGGCTTCTCCAGACCCTTTCACGTCTGTCACATGTGCTCAGGGTGAACCTGTTCTCATTGCAAAAATAGAACAGAAAAAAGCCACCTGTAATGTCACAAATAGTTTGTGTCCTAGTGCTATCTCCAACTCACTTATCATAGAAGTGTGGATTCATAAACCGGGAAAGTGCATAGTAGACAATATGGTAGTGTGACAAGAGCAACACCACCCAAAGAAAAGAGGTTACTTAAAAATCCACGCGGAGTAATATAGGTTCAGTAGTTACAGAGAGTACTTTATTTGATCACATAGATCATGGGGAAGTTAAACATAAGCACGGTGAACATATCAAACAAGTAAAATCATTTAAAAGCACTTGGCGTCCTCATATCTGGGTGATTTTGGCACATAGGGAACCATATAAGGCAATGGGGTATTTTTTAGCTATATGATCCTAGGTTTCCATATAATTCAAACTTGTATTTAGATTCGCCATGTATTCTTCAGACGTATTCTTGGTATAAGCCAGGATATGTAGAATAGCTTCCTGGTAAGTGGAAACTGTGAACCTGTTCTCATCTGTGAAAAGCACAGGGCGCCAGTGGCGGACCTGCCAATTCTGGTGTTCAGCGGCAAATGCCAATCAATCTCTATGTGTCGTGCAGTGAGCACAGGGCCCACTAGAGGACGTCGTGCCCTCAGGCCACCCTCATGAAGTCTGTTTCCGATTGTTTGGTCAGAGACATTCACACCAGTGGCCTGCTGGAGGTCATTTTGTAGGGCTCTGGCAGTGCTCATCCCATTCCTCCTTGCACAAAGGAGCATATACCAGTTCTGCTGATTGTTAAGGACCTTCTACAGCCATGTCCAGCTCTCCTAGAGTAACTGTCTGTCTCCTAGAATCTCCTCCATGGTCCTGAGACTGTGCTGGGAGACACAGCAAACCTTCTGGCAATGGCACGTATTGATGTGCCATCCTGGAGGAGTTGGACTGCCTGTGCAACCTCTGTAGGGTCCAGGTATGGCCTCATGCTACCAGTAGTAACACTGACCCTAGCCAAATGCAAAATTAGCGAAAAAAAGTCAGTGGCCTACACAGGAAAAACCATTCCTGTTTTGGGGGTCATCTCATTGTTGCCCATCTAGTGCACCTGTTGTTAATTTCATTAACACCAAAGCAGCTGCATCCAAGCCTTACATGCCCAAGTGCAATGCAAAGTGTCGGGTGCAGTGGTGTAAAGCACACCGCCACTCAACTCTAGAGCATTGGAGATGTGTTCTCTGGAGTGACAAATCACACTTCTCTGTCTGGCAATCCGATGGATGTGTCTGGGTTTGGCGGTTGCCAGAAGAACGGTACTTGCCTAATTGCATTGTGCCAAGTGTAAAGTTTAGTGGAGGAGGGATTATGGTGTGGGTTTGATTTTCAGGGGTTGGGCTTGGCCCCTTTGTTCCAGTGAAGGAAACTTTTAAGGTGTCAGCATACCAAGACATTTTGGACAATTTTATGCTCCCAACTTTGTGGGAACAGTTTGGGGATTGCCCCTTCCTGTTACAATGTGACTGCACACCTCTGCACAAAGCAAGGCCCATAAAGGCATGGATGAGCAAATTTTGGGTAGAGGAACTTGACTGGCCTTGACTGGCCTGCACAGAGTCCTGATCTCAACCCAAGAGAACACCTATTAGAGCGGAGACTGCAATCCAGGCCTTCTTGTCCAACATCAGTGCCTGACCTCACAAATGCGCTTCTGGAGGAATGGTCAAACATTCCCATAGACACCCTCCTAAACCTTGTGGACAGCCGTCCCAGAAGAGTTTAAGCTGTTATAGCTGGAAAGGGTGGGTCAACTCAGTATTGAACCCTACAGACTAAGACTGGCATGCCATTAAACTTCATGTGCGTGTAAAGGCAGAAAGGCAGGCATCCCAATACTTTTGGCAATATAGTGTATATATATATATATATATATATATATATATATATATATATATATACTCTGTATGTAGGTGTAAACCATATATATGTTTTTACAATTTAAATAAAGCAATGGACAATAGTTTGGTATGTCCCTTTATTATTATCCAGCCATCTTTATATTGTACTTACAGATCAGATTTAAGATTAAATACATGCTGAAAAACAGAACCTTAGGGTGGCTGATTTGGATTATTGTATGGTTCTAGAAAGCAAGTCATGTACCCCATTCCATGATGTAGGGCATACTGCTGACCTGAGTCCCATTAGGTTGGGAGAAAGCTGTCTAAGTCAAAGCATTTACCAACTTTCAGAAAGTCATACCACTGATGGGTCCTGTGGCACTGTAAGAGGGCTATCAGGCATGTTCTTGTGTGCTTTTATACTTTTTAATATTTTTTTGATAAAAATTATTAAGAGTTCTACAAAAGAAAGAAAAAACATCCATGTAATCTCTACTGCAAATGCTTTATTATTGTCATGTAAAGCAAGTGAACATGTTGACATCTCTTGAATAAGCCAGTGAACAAATGCATGCATACAAAAATGTAAGGGGCTCTTTGCGTTTACATAAAGGATTTGAAGAAAAACATTGCAAAACTAAAGAACAATTATTATTGAGATGACTAAAAGGATAGCAGTCATTGGATAGTCAGATATATTATTGTGAATGATACAGTAGTATGTTTAACTTGTCACAAATTGCCATTTGTTCCAGCATAGAACAAGGAGACAGTAGATAATGTGTGGCTTCTTACCTGGGAGCAAGAAGTTTAATGTTCTGTATATTTGTCTGCTCTCATAACCGTGGCTTTATAAATCCTTCCATGAAACAATGAGCTACAAGGTATTTCTGAACTCTTTGTGACTTCCATGTTATTCACTACTATGAATCATCTTTAATGAAACTTTCTGTGCTGCAGTGCTTTCTTTTTCTTCTAAAAGATGGTCTTAAAAGAATTACTATTCTCAGAACAACACTAGAGAAGACACAGTAAGATGAATTTTGTTGGTACAGGCATGACGGTGATACAGACAGCGGAGATCAAGGAGCTCAATTAGATACTGCAGACACATGGGTTGCAAGTCCTACCAGATCTTCTTAGCTACAACCCTGTCATATAAAATGTATAGGAAGAGATCCAGAGGCATACTTTGTCACCGACCTTCTTCTATATATATAATGGGAGTGTATGTCAAGTATGAACCAAGAGTCATGTTGATAAACCTGCCAATGACCATTGTGTAGGTCAGAAAAAGAATATATATATATATATATATATATATATATATATATATATATATATAGGGTGCCTTTTTTCTCCATATGGTCATGAAATGCTATATTTTTATGATATACTGTGACAAATGGCAAAACCTCTATTTTTCGTTTTGGATAGAATAAGACTTTTTAGTTTTGGATAGAAGACTATGTAAGACTTGGAACTCTCAAGTTTTTATTGCTGTCTAAGCCCATGTTAGGGAGAGTCACCATCTCTAATTGTCCTGTTGACTCTGATCACTAGATTTTTAGTTGTCACCTGAAAAGCAAGAGAGGGGATGCCAGTGTGAATTCAGAACCTGCACCCACACCCTCACGGATGTCAAATTGGGAGCAGCAGCTGTGTTTGTGCAGCCACTGCATCCCAATTGAAATGAATGTGACTGCCTGCACACAGATGCATGGAACACCTGTAAATCTTCAGCAGGCAAAACATGGCCATCACATGGCCGTCACATGGGTGTACGCTTCAGTTTTCCTGTGTGAACTAGTCCTATCACAAACTTCCTCCCGCACACTTACTGTAGAGAAAGACGGGGGTGTTTCTGACCAGGTCAGTTAGAGTGCATTGGATAGAGTGGTCAGATTCTGATGCATATTGGAATGCATGTTCATATTTAGACATACCATAAAACTGCTATAACAAGAAAGTAAAGGTAAAGCTATGAAAATGGAGACTGTCCATATAATGTCTGCCATACTAAAATGTATTTCTGTAACTTAATTTGGGATTTTTTATTACGCTGATTATTTGGTATACTGAAACCTCTTATTACACATATTTATAAAGTTGTTCAGCACTCTCTAATTTCTTAGGGTCATTATACTGTGAACATTAATGTGGAAATGCAAAAACTGCAATTCGTTTAGACTCCACTCAAGATCTCCAAATCCAGCTCACCATACACATGCCTTAGCGTGTCAGAATCAAGAGTTGCAATTAGTTTCCTGGTGCCCTCTCTTCTTGGGATAAAGCTTTCTTCCAAAATCAGGGGTGTATTTCCTTGGACTTCCCTGAAATAAATTAAATAATAGATGTGAGCATTCTACACATACCTGTCATAAAATCACTTGCCTATGGCAAACTGGCCCAAGTCTATAAAGAAAGCATATAGCCTATCTCAGTGTTTCCCAACCTTTTTTCAGTCAGGGCACCCTTTAAAATTATGGACAGTCCCAAGGCACCCCATTCTAAAATGTAAAAAACTGTTCAGTTTTATATAGCGCAGCAACATCCACACATGGACACCCAACAAGAGAGGTGATTTATTCTTTCAAATCAAATACACTTTTTCACATTGGTCCTGACTAGTATTACAGTGTTTCTCTCAGTTTTACTCCATCACTGAGCTAATGTGACCCCAACACTGATGGAGAGGGGCAGGGGAGGGTCAGACAAGGATGCTGTGCAGGCAACTGATACCCTCAATATCAACTGATGATGTCATTGGTTGTCAGGACGCCTCTGGCTAGAAGTTCATAATGGCGCACAATGAAAACCTGTGGCTTTGTGCAACTAAAAGGCAGGCGTGTGCTACCCACTGGCTTGTATACAAGTTTTGTGCAATGCTTAGACATTTTGCCAAGGCACCCCTAAAGAAACCTCAAGACACCCCAGGGTGCCTGGGCACCCTGGTTAAGAAAGGCTGGCCTATCTTACCAGGACATGTCTTTGATTGTGTTACCCCCTGGAATCAGGGCTGGGACTAGGGGTGGGCAGAAGGGGTGGCTGCCTGGACAGGGTGGTTCCATGTAAGGAGGGGGGGCTCCCCATGAAGAGTTTCTGCTGCTACAATCTGGGCACTTGGCTCTATCTCTCCTCCAGGTTCTTCCTCCTGTCACTGCCGTGCTCCTTGATCCAGACTGTCACATTGGACTGAGCAGGGTTTGCTCACCCGCCCCCTACCCACATTCTTTGCTAGGAGGAGATGGGGCCAGGTAAGCAAACCCTGCTCATTCCGATGTGACAGATCGAGGAGTGCGCCAGTAACAGGAGGAAGAACCTGGAGAGGAGACAGAGCCCAGCGCAATCTGGCAGCTACTGCAATCTCTGCTGTGAGTCTGTGCGGCCGCTATCCCACACCTCCACACCTCTCCATGCTGGCTGAGTGTCAAAAGTTAAAAGCAGCTTCCCCCAGGCTCCTCCTCTTCTTGACACCTCACAGTTCAGGAGGGGCCTGGGGGAAGCTGCTTTCAACCTCCCACAGCAGCATTGTATATGAGGTCTGTGTGTGATGGAGTGGGAAATAAACTGGGTACACAATTGGAGGGGGGAGATGGAGACGGAGTAGCATATATTTGTGATAGAGAGGACAGTATCTGTACTCAGAAGAGAAACTTTTTTGGGGGGGATACAGTATGTGTTAGGAAAGTAATTTGAGGGGGGGTTATTAGGGATGATAGGGGGGATATGTACTAGGGGAGGAGTTTGGGGGGATTTGTGCTGGAAATGAGAAAGGGGGACTTGTGCTGGAAGAGAAGATGAGGGAAAATTTGTGCTGGGAGGGGGAATTCTAGGGGTGATGGGGAGTAAGGTTTGTTCTAGGAGAGGAAATTTGTGGGGAAGAAGATTTGTGCTGGGTGTGATTTGGGGTGCGTGCTAGGATGGGTAATTTAGGGGGATTTGTGCTAGGAGGGGGGATTTGAGAGGAAGATTTATGCTAGTAGGGATGTTGAGGGGAATATGCGCTCAGCAGGGAAATTTGAGGATCAGAGGATTTATTCTAGGAGGGGGAATTTGGGGAAGGAGAGGATTTGAGCTGGGAGAGTGGATGGGGGGAGCATAGATTTATGTAGGGTTGGGGAGTTCAATGAGGGGGTGGAATTTGTACTGGGAAGTGGGGGAATTTTTGTTTTGGTGAATTTGGCTTTCAAAGGTCATTCATGGTTAGGGTGTAAGCGTGCAGATTAGAGCTCAAATTTTTACGGGGTTGGGATTTTTGCAGACACACAATGCTCACACATCTTGGGGAGGGCGCCATTTGGCATATTCACCTTGGGCGCTAGATGGCCTTGTGCCGGCACTGCCTGGAATATATTCTGCTGATTTAAACTGAAAGTTTAGTTGGACTTTAAACGGTTTGTTAATTACTGTTGGTACCGTACCTATAGGAATTAATGAAATACTTTTTTTACAAATGGTATAAGGATGAAACGATTTCCATTTAAAAAAAAAAAAATTTTAAGTGTTTTGTATATATTTAGTGGGGCATTTAGTTTATCTTAATAATTTCAAGAATTTTTTTCATAAATCACGTATGTCTTGTCTAAATGGGTATATCAGCCTGTATGTTTTTCCCCAATCTAACAAGGTAGGATGAGCGAATGTGCTGAGGTAAAGACACTGAACCCCTCATTTGATCAAGTAAATGAAGAGGAAACCAAAAATCTAATGCCTAGTACACACGGTGAGAATATCGGATGAATGATTGTCCTTTTTTATTTGCATGCTAGTCTCATATCAAAAATAAATAGGTTACTAAAGTTTGTTGTAAGATGGAATACAACTTCGGAGGTGATGTAATGTATTCTTTAGTTTCCGAGCATGCATGATCTTGGTCACTGATTTTTCTTATACAAATACCATACTAATTACACAAAAATTGTTCTGTTATCTTACGAAAAATAATTTGCGTGCTCGTCCCTCTGCATATTTTCGCATGAACTGTTGCGATAGGCTCTCAAATAGATTATTGGATGATCGCTCCAAATACTTTTTTTTGTTAGATCTTCTCATTGTGCGCACCAGATTTTAGTCTGCAGAAGTCCTGCACATGTTGAGTATAAAAACAATATCCTTTTCCCATGATTGTAAATGGCTGGATAATTCCTGACACAAGGGGTTTGCCTTTACTAAACTGGAAAGTGCAAAATTTGCTGCAGCTCTGCACAGAAACCAACCATTGCCAAGTTTTTTTGTCAAAGCTTAATTGAACAAGCTGTCGGCAGAAGCTGATTGGCTGCCATGCAAAGCTGTACCACATTTTGCACTCTCCAGTTTTAGTAAATCAAGCCCATAGTCGGTCTGTCTGAAGACAGCAAACATTGGGACATATTTTTGTGAATATTATTGGGTTATTATACTTCTAATAAAAGGCATACTTTGCCCATTTGTATTTTTTGATAACACTGGCATATCTCCTGCTTTGTTATATTAAATGTGGAAGATGATGCTATTATACTGTAGAGGGAAAGCAATCTCCAGTCCAGCATTCTCAGGTGCTGTTCATAGCTCTCTAATATGAATTGTGATGTCACATCCAGAACCATAGACAGACTACATTAAAAGTCTTCCATCATTTATTATAATATATATGTTAATGACAACCTGATGTTATTATCCACATTAATGTAATGCTACTCACTATTTTTTTTTTATAGAAGTAACAGTAGTTTACATTCTGTATACAGATTGTACTAAACATGCAACTTAATAAATCTTTATTGAGAAAAAAAAATAAATGTCACCCATAAGGCTGCCACATTTAGTGTTTTCAATATGGAAGTCTCTGAGATATCATAGCAATTTCTCCTACAACTTAGAGCTTTCTCTAGTAATATTGCAGGCCCTTTAATTACATTACACTTTCTCTAGTAAAATGGTAGCTTCTTCCATTACACATTCTATCTGGTTAGACTGCAGCGCTCTAGTTACATGCACAACTTTCTAGTAATATGCAGTTCATGACCATCTGTCCTTGATCAATTGCAGATTCAGTGATTTGCTCTAGGGTTTCTTGCTTTATGCAACAAAGTGTATGATCCATACATTTTGGTGGCAAGCCATGCCCCTTTGTGATTCAAACAAGGCCTAGTCTTTCTCACCATGACAAGCTGAGAACAATGTTTTCAGGTTAAAACCATAGCAAGACTGGATAACTTAAACAGATTGCTTTTACTTAAACAGATAGTGAAAAATATATATGTAGAGGTTTTCTTCAGTGCACACTGTAGGCTAAACTAAGTCTAGAAATATACTGTAGGTTTATTAAGGTATATGTAAAGCTAAGCCTCACCCTGCTCCCTACCTCCTGAACCTCTCTACTGATCATTTATTGTAATGGACTGCCACACTGATCAATAGAGAGCACCAGGATGTCGGAGGGGGCATAACCAGGCAGTCTGCATTCAGATCCACATGTATGCAGCTCATGGGGCTCCTACTGAATTTAATACAGATAATTAATAGACATTAGCCATTTGCATGCAGCCACTATAAGGTAAACACAAAAAACATGCAGTAGAGTAAATGTATATGGAATGGTTATGTACATAACCAGTGTTCCCTGAAAATATTAAAGCAAGTGCAGGGTGCTATAAAAAACATAAATGTGAATTGCATGACTCCTTTGGAATCATGTTCTTTTGACTAGACAGATTTTTACCTCCTATATCTAATATATTTACCATAATCCTTTACCAAAATTAATAGTCAACAATTAATTTTCTTCCTCCATACCTATGTCTGAGGCACTAGATCAGCAATGGGCAAACTACGGCCCGCGGGCCGTATACGGCCCGGCGGACCTTTTAATCCGGCCCGCGGAGCGTGATACTGTCAGGATGGCTGTCAGGATGTGTGTAGGCGGGGCAGCGTGACGAACGTGAGGGGAGCTAGGCTCCTCTCACAGTCCGCCCTGAAGACCGGTGTAGCATGAAAATCTGTCTCCTATGAGGATCTGTCCCCCTCGACGTATCTGCGCATGTGCCGGAGATCGCCGATCGGCTGCTAATGCCTGAAACTGGCACATGCGCAGATACGTCGAGGGGGACAGATCCTCATAGGAGACAGATTTTCATGCTACACCGGAACGGCGCGGGAACACGGCGAGAGGAACGCGCGGAGCAAAGGTAAGTGAATTGACACAGGGGGGACTTGGGGACTTAATATGGGGAATGAATTACTATGGGGGATGAATTACTATAGGGGGGATGAATTACTATATGGGGGATGAATTACTATGGGGGATGAATTACTATATGGGGGATGAATTACTATAGGGGGGATGAATTAC